TCCACACATGAGAACAGAAGCACCGCTGGCATCCACTCACTGGCTGCTCCCCACCCACTCTGGCAATTTGTGGATCTGGCGCTCCACCGAGATAGAGGTCCGCAGGGTGCCCATGGAGTTCTCCATCTGGCTGGACTCCAACACGCAGCCCCCCTTCTGGCACAGTCTCTGGTATACCTCCCGTGCCTTCTTGCGGAAGTGCTTGCCCACGATCACGTACACCAGGGGGTTGAGGCAGCTGTTGCTATAGGCTATGTAGGAGGCGATCTGTGTCAGGATGTCGGTGATGTGCTCGTCCCAGCAGCTGGAGAGGATCCTGAGGCGCAGCAGCGTGTCCAGGAAGGTGCTGATCTGGAAGGGCAGCCAGCAGACGATGAACAGCAGCAGCACAGCCAGGACCAGCACTGTGGCCTTCCTCTCTGTCTGGATCTCCTTGAACTTCTGCATCTCGTTGTTCCGCAGGACCTGCATGATCTGCACCGTGCAGAAGGTGATGATGCTCAGGGGCAGGAGGAAGCCCACAGAGTTCAGGAGGACGTTGGTGAACACCTCCCAGGAGCGGGACGGGTAGACGATGATGCAGGCCGTGACGTTGTAGCCCTCGGCTCCATACTCCTTCATGGTCCGGAAGGCCAGCATGGGAGAGCTCAGGAGCAGCGTGCACCCCCAGATCACCAGGCTGTAGAGTTTGGCCCAGCGCACCCTGCGCATGCGGCCCATGGACATGGTTTTCACCAGAGCCAGGTAGCGGTCGATGCTCACCAGCATCAGGAAACAGATGCTGCTGTAGAGATTCATGTAGACCATGGTGTTCACTACACGGCAGAGGACCTCCCCAAAGAGCCAGTCGAAATTGTTGGCAATGGTGACGGCCCAGAAGGGCAGCCCGCAGGCCAAGATCAGGTCTGCCGCGGCCAGGTTGCCCAGGTAGATCTCTGCCACCGTGCAGCTGCTCTTGTGCAGGCAGAAGACGCTGAGCACAAAGACATTCTCAAGCACCGCCAGTACGAACAGCACCCAGAGGAAGGGGGCCTGGATGGCGTTGAGCCAGCTCCACCAGTCGGAGTGGAGGCAGTTGCTCTGGGAAAGGGTCCCGTTGAGAGCAGATGCAAGGCCATGAGAGGTGATGTTGAGCATATCCACGCTGAAAGAAAGTGGAAAAGAGGCTGTTACACCTCGAGGCCACAAGAGGAAGGAGAAACAGTGGTTGCAGGAGGAGAAGGAAGATCAGCAAATGACTCCTAGGCGAGGTCAGGGGTGGCATTCAGGCCTTTTCTGCAGCTGCTCAGAGACTCCGGTCCAGGCACCCCTGACTCTTTGGGTCTTAGAGAGACACCCCCTGCTCCTTGGGTCTAAACTGAGAGATCACATTCTTTGCCTTGTGGCTCCACTGGGTGTCTCCTTGGCCAGCATCCAGCACCAGCACTAACAATCATGAGTCTTGGACCCTGGACTTTCTTGAAGCTTCCATGATGGGAGGATATACAACACATTCCTTCCTTATTGTATGGGCCTCTCCCAAGGTTGCTGGTCATCTATCAGCCTCTCATGGCCTGGCCATGGGTGAGGAATGTATTAGAAGAGTAAAATGATATCATGCCAGACAGGGAGATTGCAGCCTGGCTTCGGGACCACGACCCATCTGCCCATGCCGGTCTCCTTCTAGCAGAAGGCAGCATCCCCTCCAGCAGTGAAGCTTGATGATAATCAGAGGTTGCATGACAGAGAGAGCAGACAGACACTTTGGAACCAGCCAGTTCTCCTGCGTTCAAATCTCAGCTCATTCATTAGCTGTGTGACCCTCGATAAGTTAATCAAGCTCTCTGAACCTCAATGACCTACCTTGTAAAATGGGAATAAAAAAATCTACTTCTCAGAGTTGTAGTGGGGATCTGAGACAATGCACAAAAAGCCCCAAGCACTGGACTTGAGTCAATAAACATTAACAGTTATCTAATTTTTTGAACCTATTAAAACAACCAGTTCAAACTCCAGCAGCACAGGTTGCATGGTCCTGCTCTTGTATTGGTGACTTCACCATGAACCCACTAGCACCTCTTTCACTCTTGGGTGAGACTCAGACCATGGGGCATTTAACTTTCTAGGAAGTGGCAGAAAGTTCTAGAACTTTCTGGAAGAGTTGCTGGTAAGGCTAATTCATCTACTTTTAGCAAAGAGGCATGGGGCTTGGACAGACACAGGCTCTGACCCCAGTTGTGGTCTTGGGCAAATTGCTTGACCTCTTTGAGCTTCCATTTTATTTTCTTTGCCTTGCATGGCTATTGTAAGGTTCAAACGAGAGGGTGGGTATGAAGACACACTGGAGAGCAGAAAGTACACCTGTGAGGGCATGACTAATTGGGCATTTTCCTAGTGGGTTGGGGAGCAATGGGGAGGTAGAGGGTCTTCTCAGGTCGTTAGGTAGCCTCATGGGGGAGGAGCTGAGCAACCAATTATGGGAAAGAATCTGCTGACTGCCTCTGGGATTTCCCAGGAAGACCCCCTCTACTTCCTGGAGAGCTAGCTGCTTTGGGGGACCAGGCGGGGACCTATGGTTAAATTCATTCATCAATGTGTTACCTTTAAATGTGACTTGAGCATCTTCTCCATGCCAAGCTCCACCCTGGCTATGGGGACCCAGAGGTTAACACCATGTGTCCCCTGCCCTGCCTGAGCTCCTAACAATTGTCTGGACCTTCTTGAAGCTTTCATGATGGGAGGATATACAACACATTCCTTCCTTATCGTATGGGCCAGTGTCTGATGAGTGCCCTGGGGTGGAAGGATGGGCACTAGGCACAGAATTGGTGAGAGAAGGTTGGAGGTGACTCTGGAGCTGTGTTTGAAGGATGAGGACCATCTCAACAGGGGACAAGCAGGAGAGAGGACAGACCAGGCAGAAGGAGCAGCTTGAACAGAGGCATGGAAATGGGGGTGCTGCTGGCCTGTTCTGGAAGGCAGACTAGATGTTGGATGAAGAGGTGGGAACCAACAAGAGGTGGGGTTGAATAAATGTAACCAAGTGAAAAAGTTGGCTTCTCTTTCTCCATGCTGTATTTGTCTCCTTTGCCTTAACCTTTGGGCCGAAAAGAAAAGGGCTTCTGCTCAGCCCTGCAGCCCTGCACGAAGGCTTGTTGATCATCAATGAAAGGAATTTTGCTTATGTTTGAGGTGTCCGCAAATTGCCTCTTACCTGAAGCTTGCCTCCCCGTAAGACACAGAGAAATATGTATGAAAGCAATGATTGCCCTGTCAAAGATTTACAGGAACTTTGTGACCCGACCTGGGTTAGCAAGAGTCACCTGACCGAGGAGAGTCTCAGCTCTCCTCAGACCCTCGCTGGCACCCAGATGTCTGCAGCCTTCCGTTACCCCCTAACCTGCTCTCTCTCCTGCTCCCCCTACCCCAGCATAAAAGAAGCTTGCAGTTAACCCTGGGTTCAGATGGGGTTTCAGGACATGAGCCCCCCATCTCTTCGGCCTGCTGGATTTCCAAATAAAGTCACTTTCCTTGCCCGGACACCTTGCCCCTCAATGTATGGGCTGTGCAGTGAGTGGCCCGAGCTTGGACTTAGTGACATAAGGGAAGAAGGACAGTCACCACTGCAGCAGAGAAAGCGAGGCTCTGTCCTTGAGGGCTTTAAGGTGCGAGCTGGAAAGATCCCTCTGGTGCAGTGGTGGTTTTTCTATAGCCAAAAATTCTTTGATACCTTTCCCTTCAGAAGGCAGAGCCTCATTCCCCTTGCAGTGAATGTGGCCCAACTTAGTGACTTGCTTCCCTCCAGTGGTGGCAGTGACAGGGTGTGGCTTCTGTGGCTAGGTCACGAAGTGCCCTGTAGCTTCCTCCTTGGCCTCTTGGGCTGCTTGTTCTTGGCCAGCCGCCATGCTGTCAGGATGCTCAAGCAGCCACGTGGGCAGCTCCGTGGGGAGGAACCGACTTGCCATCTTGGATTCAGATCCTCTGGCCCCATTTAAGCCTTCAGGCGGTTCTGGCTCCTCAGCCTTGGAGTCTTCCAGCTGAGGGCTCAGATATCAGGCAACACGGATAAGCCATTTCCCCCAGGCCCTAAATTCCTGACCCTTGTAAGTGGCTGCTTCTCTGCAGGCCCTCTGAAAGTAGGGCCTCCTCTGGACAGCCGCCTTGCTCCAGGCTTTGGCCTCCTTTGTGCAGCTACAGAAAACCTTTCTTCACTGGCTGCCAAGCTTGGGGAGGTGCCCCTTGGTCCAGCTCTCTGGAGACAGGGACCGTGCCACATGCTACTTGTTAATATCCCAGCAATATGGCCCCTAGCCAACGGGTGGCACCTGCCGGGGGCTGTCTCTGAGAAGCCACAGAGTCATCAGACAGTGGCCTGGGGCGTGCATGACTGCAAGCTGCAGGGCCTGGTCCCTACGTTCTCAGCTGAGATGGCCATCTGGTCATTTCTATAGAAGGCCATGCCTGCCACGCCTGCCTGAGAGGCCAGCCTGGGCCCCTCTCTCCTTTGTCTTGCCAACACTGTTCCCCTCAGGACTGACCCTTCCTTTCCTCTGCTTCCCATGTGAGATCAATTCCCCCCACATTTTCTCTTTAGGGTGTCCTGGCCTTCTATCAGGTGTCAGCCATGTGTCAGAGACATCCCGTCTGCACAGCGGCCTGGTGCATCTCTGTTGGATTCCTGGGTGTTGATGGCAGAGTGTCACTCTCTTCATTTCCTGGACCTCATCTGGGACAGCTCACCTCTGCCCACCAGTGGTGCACCCTCCTCCTGCACCCCACCAAACCCCACAGAACAGTCCACTCTCTCTGCTCCCAGTGGGCCTGTGGGGATTGGAGCACCAGCCTCCCCAGCCCTTGAGGGTTTCTGTCTGTGCATTTGCAGTCCCTGCTGCTTTAACTGTGGTCCAGGAGATGAGGGCGGTGCTCTCCCCGCTGTTCTGGCTGTTTGGCCCCCACATGAACAGTAAACCCAGGAATCCCCTTGACTTACCTGAAAGAGGCTGTGGTGGGCACAGGGTCCTCATGAACAGACAGGAACATTGGTCTCTTCCAGGCAGAGAACATTTGAACTCAGAGTTGGACGTGAGTGAGGCCCTGCCCGGGCTGCCCAGAGAGGAAGAGATGGTTAGATGGCGGCTGGGGACCATAAAGCACACGTGCTCTCCCCTAGGAAAGGGCAATGGGGCATCTCACTTAACAACATTTATTAAGCATCTACTGCGATCCGGGTGCTAGGGACATAATGGTGAGAGCAGGCTTACAGCTGTTGCAGCATCTGTCTTCCAGGAGCTTACAGTGTAAGGGAGAAGCCAGACACCGCTCAGACTGTCACTAAGTAATTGACAATAGACATCAGTGATATGAAATCATATAACCTGGGGTCCTAAACCAGCCCAGAGCAGGGGGTGGGTGGGTATTTATCATGAGACCTGAGGATGAGAGGGAGTAACTGGCTGTAAGGACAGCGGCGGAGAGGAGGATGTTTGTACAGTGCAAAGGCCCTGAGGCAGGAAGAAGCTTGGTGTGAACGTGTGTTAGCCGCTGGAGCTGCAGGGAGATGGGACTGTGGCAGGGGCAGAGAGGAAGCAGGAGACAGTCAGCAGGTGCTGCCCGGTAGACTAGGCACAGGCTGCTGGAGAACGGGGAGGATGAGGTCCGTAGGCATTTGGTAAAACTGGCATGCCTGGTGCAAGGAGGGATGTGGGGCAGTTGGGGATGAGGGTGAGGAAGGTGTCAAGACCCACCTCCACCGCCACCAACCATGTGCTGCGGTCCCCTGTGAAGGAGAGCAGGGGGGGAGAGGATCAGGGAGAGAGAGGGTCATGGGTTTGGATTTGAGCCTGTTAAGTTTGGGGTGCTTTTGAGATTTGCAAGTAGGGGAGTGAGTAGCTGGTGGGTCTGGAGCTCAGGGGAGGGGTCTGGCTGGAGCACAGGCTCACGCCGATGAAAACGGAGGCAAACTGGACACAGGTGTCTCAGGGGCCTGAAGCGTGACAAGGGGACGGGCGCAGGAGAGTGCTTCCGGACGTTTGGGTGGTTACTGCTACGCTACGCTGTGCTCTCAGCTTCTGAGCCAGGCCTGCAGCTGGAAGGTGGAGGCTTTCGGCCCAGTGGGCTTCCACTGACAAAAACCTTCTCCTCCCGCTTCATGTCTAATTTCACTCCCATCCAGGGAGGTAGGCATCCATTGTACACTTGCCTTGCGGAGGGGAAATTGAGGTGCCGGGGAGGCGACTTGTCCAAGGGCCATTGCTGGCAAGACCTGCAGGTGGGGCTTAAACCCCCCTTCTGGTGCCAAACCTCAAGCTCTCTCCAGGATCCCACGTGACCTTTTACTCCTGTCTAGAGAGGGTGTGGAAAGCTGGCGGGTGTGCACATGCACGTGTGTGTACATGCATGTGTGTGTGTACATGCCTGTGGCCATGAAACTGCTCCTTCCCAGCTTTCAGCCAGTCCTCACCCAGAACAGTCTGTGCAAAGACAGGGCACCCGGGCTTCCAGAAGCCCTGCTGTCTTAACTCAGTGGTGGGAGGTGGGGCTAGGGCTGTAGATGGTTCAGGAAATTTGAACAAGTTAGAAAAAGGGAAGATCAGGTTGGTAAGTAGGAAATGAAGCTGAAGATACTCAGTTAACACCTGGCAGAGGTTTACGCTGATCCCTTAGCACAGCTGAGCTGAGGATTTGGAATTTGCAAGAAATGCAAAGAGCAGCAAAGTCCTTCTGATCCTTTAAAGAGGGTGATCCTTCTGGGGAAGGGAAGAAAGGCCTAGAAGTCTGCCTTTCTGGAAGGCAAAGAAAATTCAACTAGGGGTCAGAGGTCATGTGTTGGACTCACTCACTTCTCAACAACAATCACTGAGATCTGGTGGGGAAGAGCCGAGAAGAGCTTCCCCTGCTCCCATGGGGCTCCCCCTGTAGCTGAGCGACTCAGTCTACCTGCAGGATGTGAGTTGGATGTGAGTGAGGCCCTGCCTGGGCTGCCCAGAGGGGAAGCGATGGTTAGATGGCTGCTGGGGACCATAAAGCACACGTGCTTGCCACTAGGAAAGGGGAATGGGGCATCTCACTTAGCAACATTTATTAAGCATCTACTGCGTACCGGGTGCTAGTTTCCACCTGGCCAGTAACAGCTGTGCAGGTAACTCAGCACCTCCCAGCAGGGTCACCCTGGGAAGGTGCAGGGCTTTTCCTCACTGCCTGCTGCTAGGGTCCACCTGGTTGGGTGTCCTTGGATCTGGCGGAATCAGCCTCAGTGGATCCTAATTGCTCCCTAATGTCTGTAAACATTGCCCTCATTTTCAAAACAAAGTAGAGGGCTTTTCTCTCCCCAGATGTCCGGAGAGCAAGTGGTTTACAAGCATGGGAGCAGTCAGGGGAGGGAAGGCGACTCCTGTCCCACAGCACCCGCTGTGGGGGCTGCCCTGGAGCGGCCCTCTGAGGGTGGGAGCTGCCCTGCGGCTCAAGGCCACACTCCCTGCAGCCCACCTTGGGGACTGTACCTTGGGCTTTTGGTGGGGTCCAGCAGGAGACCCTCAGAGGGAGCAAAGAAGGTGGGGTTGAGGCACTGTCTCCCTGGTTCCTCCCTCGGGGGCCCCCAGGGGCCGGCTGTGCCTGGGCTGGGCTCCCAGCTCCCATCAGGGGCCCTTTGCACCTCACTGCCTGGTGATTCTGGTAGCTACCACCTCCTCATGCCTGCTCTGGCCTCAGTTGGGTGGGAGCAGGGAGTGGTACGTCCAGCTAAGGTCTAGCTGTGCTCTGAGGTCCTTAGTACCCCTGCCTACTGGCTACACACTGTCAGCAGACCCTCTGAACATTCTCCCCCTATTCCTCAGTTTGAATGTGCCCTCTTTTTCTTATAGGGACCCTGACTAATACCTTGGGGTTATGAAATCGGATGTCAGAGAACTATTTGAAGGGATGTGGGGAGGGAGCCCGGCCTGGTGGGCATGCTGGCACCTGGTCAGGGAGGAGATGAGTCTCCTGCTGGGCCTTCCCCTCATTTTTCAAAGTGATGCATTATAAGCAACATCCAATGTTAAAATTCATTTGTGCACTAAGACTTTAAAAGTATTTCACCTCATTGAATCACATAAACACTGGAGCTCAGTGCTGTCGGGAATAGATTCCACCAGTCTCAAAGGGAGCCTATTTTGGTTTTCCAAAAATCCATGTCTGAGGGGCTCTGAGGCTGTGGCTGCCATATTTTCTCAAGGGCCAGGTTTCACCTGGCAGGGAGCTCCCAATCCCGGGGCCAACTCTTGTCTGTTATTTTGTGGTTCCACGTTAGAGCCGTGAGGTGCTCCCTGAAGTGAGAGTGTGGACTGGATGGAAAATAACCCTGAATATTTAGTGACTCCTCCCAAGCAGGCCCAGGAAAGGTCTCAGGTGGTGCTGGCACGTGTCTGACACCTTTCTGGTATTTGTAACCCCCCTTTCCACAAAGGGAGTGGGCCCTGAACCTGGCTGACCTCCTCAATCAAGCCAGACTTAATAGGGTTGTTTATGGTCCATTGTGTGTATTTTTACAGTTTTTTAAAAAGACAAATGATACTCATTTTCCATTTAAGTTGGTAACATGATGTTACATTTCAAAAGTAAGTTGCTATTAAGGAAGTAGTTGTACGGCTGACATAGATATGGCAGAAGCTGTGCGTGTAGAAGGACTGCATGTGGGAAATGCAGCCTCAATGCATTTGCTGGAAACTTACGTCACAACCAGGGAGGCCCAGCTGGGCTTATGGGGATGGGAGCCAGGCCTGGAATTGGTTCTCTTTCCATCAGATACATTATTTGAGGCTTAATATAAAAACAGCCCTCACCTTCTAGGGCCACTGTGAGCAGTAGATGAGTCGGTACGTGTCAAATGCTTGAAGCATGAGGTGAATGTGTTGCAGAATGTGCTCGGTTCTTCGTGGACTACCCAGGGGCCCTTCTGCTTGTGCCACACCGGTGGGGGCATCTAGGAGGGGTCCCTTCCGGGCGGCCTGCTCAGCCACTGATTGTACAGCTGAAGGGTGGGATGAGCGTGCGGCTAGAATATCCCAGGCATCCTGGTCCAGGGCAACCCTTGAAACTGTGCGGTTCTATCTTGGGTCTGAGGGTGGGTGTGCTCTGTTTATTGTCTGCATCCCCTCTCTCGGTGGGGTGTGTGTGTGTCTGTGTGTCTGTGTCTGTGTATCCATCTGTCCCACTACACTCAGTCTTCTCAGAGGGGAAGACCCTACCTCATTTGCCTTTTTACCCTCCACCATGGTTGCTACTGTATTTTATGCATTCTCATCTCTTGCAAAACACTTACTCGATAAAGAAAATCTCTCAGACTATTGGAGTCAGGGCCAGAGATAGAAAGATCCAAGTTTTCCTGAATACCAGCTTAGAACCCTTTTCTGGACACCTCCCCAGAATAAATATTTTCCTCTGAAATCTGATTTATATGATTACCGAGTAAAGATGCTTCTTGTAGACAGTCACAAAAGTAAACTTCAGGCCACAGCAAATACTGGGCTACAGTGGAGCTGATGGAGCCCCGGGCACCCTATCAACCTCAGTAGGAGTGAGAAGTATGGCCTGGGTACACACTTCCCAAGGGGCCTGCTTTCTTTCTCCCTGAAAAATGACCAGAGCTGTCTGTAGGGGAGATGGGGTTCTGGGAAGTCAACCTCTCTTCCGGGAACTCCTAAAGAAGGCTGAGTCATGAGATCAGATTCAGTCCGAGACATATGCATGTGGGCTCTCTGGCATTTGAACATTTTATGGGCCTGTAATGTTTTGGAAACATTTACAGGGGAACTGCGGGAGCCCTGAGAAGCAGAGCTCTGCACCCACCCTGCTTTCTGCAGCAGAGGATAGGCTGTGCTTACCTGACTCACGGCTCATTTTAGTCTTTATCATTTTCCTGTTCATTATGGTAGGTAATTCTGTTCAGTGTGGTTTCTTTTCCCCACATTGGATTTTGTAGTTTTTAATGAATGAGCAGTTTCATCTGACATCCTGACACTAATCCTTCCCATTTACAAAAAAATCTCCCTTTTTGTTTTAAAAGATCATACAATCAGAGTAAAGAGTACTTAAAAGTAATATTAAAATTCATATCCACATGTAAC